CCGGTAGGACGGTGTTGATGACGAAAGCGGGATTGTTTTCCTGGGCAAACTTCCAGAACTCCCGCTCAGTGGAGGTCTTCAGGGCGGCATAGACGTCCCAGCACCTCTCGGGTTCGTACGGTCCCGGTCGCCATGCCCGCTCAATGCTGCTATCATTCCAGGTGTTGGTGTCGACGTGGATCTCTTTCTCCGGCTGCGGGGTCAACGCAGCAATGGCGCTGCTGGTCAACACGAAGCGCTTGACGCTCGGTTCCTTGGCGGCGCTGTTGAGGATGTTACGGAGGGCCTCCAGCATAGGAGTGATGATCTTGTTGGGATCGCTACCGAAGGACAGGTCGCTGGCCACATGAGCGATGCCATCGACGCCGCGGATGGCATCGTCGAAGGCCCCCGGAGCGGAGATGTTCGGCACCACCACCGTCTCGAAGGACGCGTCTGGATAGCGCCTTGCCATGGCTTCGGTAATCCAATCCGCCTTCTCCTGGGTTCGCACCGTGCCTCGAACCTTGTAGCCGCGCTCAAGGAGGTTGAGGGCAAGGTGAGAGGCCAGGAAGCCATTCACACCGGTGACCAAGACGAGGCCACCAGGAGGGACAGTGGTAGGCGCAAGGGAACCCATGATTGAGTTTTGGATGCCTTTTGATTAGAATGGAGAAAAGAAGCGACTGGCACGATGTACTGTGGAGTGTTCAGTATTCCAATTTGACTCTGGTCTGCCAATCGACGAGACCTGCCTTGATATAAGTACATGATGTCTGGTAATAACATTTCTGGATGAAGCCCATAATAGTCCATTTGCTGGAGGAGTACGAAAAATGCAAGTTCAACAAGCGTACAACCTCAGCAACCGCCTCCTAGTGGCGGTCATGGCTGCTGCTGTACTCCGGCGACGTCCAACTCCGATTGTGCGCTAGCCCCGGAGAAGGCGCCACTGTCGCAATCCCGACATGATTTGTAAGTCCCCGTCACCTATATTTGATTTGTCTCCGGCTTTGTCGTTCTTTTATGCTTCAAACTCCGAACACACTGGAGAAGTGCTTCTTCCTGCTTCCACATGGCTCCATGCCACTCCGGCGGTAGGAGGTTTTGGATGCCGTGGCTGAGGGGGGACCCAGATCCATATGGGGAAGCCCGCGCAGCTGAATCTATCACGGCCAGAATTTAATATTATCGAGCTGCATACTCTGACCATTTCACAAGTTCAGTTCTTCGGTTGAGAAACGATGTTCTGGCCTCTTTCGGCCCTACTGCTCCCTGCCCTTGCGGGTGCCTTTCGCCACGGCCACGCACGAAACAACACCTTCGACTATGTGATCGTCGGGGGAGGCACTGCAGGGATTCCCATAGGAACACGGCTGGCCCAGGCAGGATACGAGGTGGCCATCGTCGAGGCTGGTGGCTGGTATGAGGACTCGGAACCGATAATGTCATCCACTCCAGCCTTTGGTTTCGCGAACAATGCTGCCAATGATTGGGGCTTCATGGTCGAGCCCCAGCCGGGTATGGGGGGAAGAGTCTTCGGCTATCCCCGCGGGAAATGCGTGGGAGGCTCCAGTGCACGCAAGTGAGGAATCGCCATCATTAACTTTATTGGAAAGCTTCCAGTGCTGACTGATGATAGTGCGATGATCTACCAGAGGTACTGATCTTCCCGTACGCTCGTCTCATTGTAGTCAGCTGCTAAGGAATATACCAGAGCCCCTGTTGGCGCATTTCAGAAATGGGCCGACCAGGTCGGGGACCAAAGCTACGCATGGTCTGAATTCGAGCGGTTTTTCAAAAAGGGCACGAACTTCACAGCCCCAGATCCTGATCGCCGAGCCCACAATGCGACCCCGGGATACCATCCAGGCGCATTCTCGTCCGGCAGCGGTCCGCTGACGGTGACGTACGCCAACTGGGCCTCGCCGATCTCAAGGTGATAATCATCGCTCTCCTAATGTCGACTGCCGATGAAGGAATTGCTGACACCTCGCAGTTGGATCCAACGGGCTATGAGGGCCGTCGGGATTGATGATGCTGGTGACTTCAACAGTGGTCGTATCATCGGTTCGCAGTATTTCGCGCTGACAACCATCCCGGAGACGCAGGAGCGCGCCTCCGCTGCAAATACATATCTGAAGGAATTTCAAGATCTCCCCAATCTCACCGTCTATACAGAGACATTGGCGAAGCGAATCCTCTTCGATGATACTAAGACCGCCACGGGAGTGGTGGTGGAGATGGCTGGCATGGAGCACACGCTCGCCGTCGACAAGGAGGTCATCCTATCGGCTGGGGCCTTCCAGTCCCCTCAACTGCTAATGGTCTCCGGAGTCGGTCCGGCGAGTACTCTGGATTCCCTCGACATTCCGATTGTTCATGATAGTCCGTACGTGGGACAGAACTTGGTAGATCACGTCTGGTTTGGAGCGGCCTATCGCGTCAACGTCCCGACGTGGACCAAATGGGCCAACGATGCGTTCGACATGCTCCGGCTCTACGTCGATCATTATCGCCAGCATCGGCAGGGGCCCTTGACGGCGAACGCGGGCGACTTTGGTGCTTTCGAAAAAGTCCCCAGTCATCTTCGTGCCGCATTTACTCCGAAAACTCTCCAAGACCTGGCAGAGTTCCCGGACGATTGGCCGGAAGTGGAGGTAAGCACCGCCACCTTGTGAATCAAGCTTCCACAGGTCACCCATAACCACTCCCAGTACATCGTCTCCCCAATGTACCTTGGCAACTTCAACGACCCACTGGGCCGCCAGCCCAAAGACGGCTACCAGTACGCGTCCATCACCGCGGCCCTCGTCGCCCCCGTATCGCTGGGCAACGTCACCATCCAGTCCGCCGACACCCGCGATCCGCCTGTCATCAACACCAACACGCTGGGCTCTCCCACCGACCAGCAAGTCGCCATCGCCGCCTTTAAGCGTCTGCGAGAGATCTTCGAGGCTCCGGAGTTGGCGCCAGTTCGCCTCGGTGACGAGTATTTCCCAGGGAAACATTCGGTTCGGACCGATGCGGAGATCTTGCAATTCATCCAACAAAACGGCCTGGCTTTCTACCACGCCGGCTCTTCGTGCGCCATGGGGGATCCTGAAGCAGTTAACAGCACGGCTGTGGTCGACAGCAAGGCACGGGTGATTGGCATCAATGGTGTGAGGGTTGTGGATGCTGCGTATGTCATGGATCCTCTGCACGCTGCGTGACCCTACATTGTGTGTGATACTGATATCATGACAGAACGCTGCCGTTCTTGCCTCCCAGTCATATTCAAAGTGCAATCTGTATGTCCATTGATCTGTCCTCATGCTCCTCCAAGCATGTGCTGTATCCACTAACCTGCTATCTTAGATGCCCTGGCCGAAAAAATTGCTGAAGAGATCATACATGAAGAAGCAAATGAACCCGCACGAGTGGAATTGTAACCAGGGTGGATTTTTTTAGTGGGTAAATTATATCGTTCGTTTTCTCGTTTTCTTTTTTTCTTTTTGAAGCATACTTTTGTTCCTTTTCAATAAATAGGCAAAAAAGATGAGTCCCTTATAATCCTGATTAGCATCTGTCACCTGTGGGCTGGCTGACCCTAGCCGCAAATCTATATCCAATCCATACAATCCGGTGGATCTGGGTTGGCCATGGTCCAACCCAATATTATTGCATGGCGAGCACGCTAGCTGATTAGTAGGTGTTGGAAAGGAATATATTGAAGTTATCTTTATTATGTCCTTGTATATATGTCGGATTCAATTAGCGAACCGCAACATGGGTGCTTGCCATTTGCATGTTGTACGGTTGCATGAATAGACAACTATATATTATGGTTCTAAAGTATTTCTCTATTCCTAACCGCTGGAATTAAGCCTAGTGATGCTTCTTTGGATTCTATAGCTCAAGTTCAGACTGGATTGGCTTAGAAGGGATTCAAATGATTCAAAGCATAATATGGTCTAAGGGATAGAACATAAGCTCACTCCTGTATCCTGCAACGTGGATGCCGCAACCACCTAATTCTCCTATTGCTAGTCACCTGTATTGTAAAGAATGAACTTTCACTTGGTATCACTCATGACTGCCTTTTCAAAAGCATGTGTAGGACAGTTGTTTTCTTCTCAAGTCGTGCTGGAAGATATTGGTCGATGATTCAGTCATCGCCCGCTGAGCAGTGAGCAAGTTTAGAGAGTTATGAAGGATCTGCCGTTGAAGACCAGGTCTATTATGTGATTGCTGAACTGGCAGGATCAGACACCCGTTGGGTTTTAGACCCTAAATGTTCAGACACCAGAGGATTTTGGAAGCTCAAGCGTGTAGGTTAAGCCGAGGAAGGTCCTTCAAAATTATTTCATTGCACTGCTCGTAAAGCGTAAGTTTATGGAATATGGCGTCAGTCAGGGTCACAGAAGCCTTAGACAAATGACCACAACAGCAAGAAAAAGGATGCGAAACGTGACTACGGGTTAGCTTGAGTCACTCAGCTAACTCATCATTCTGCCCGAGTTTTTGAGCCAACCGCTCTGTACCAGTGGTTAAACACTAGCTATAGAGGGACAATCACCAATTGGCAAAGACCCCATTCTTTCGATAAGCGAAAGTCCTGGTGACACGGAGAAGCTGTGAGGTACCTAGTCTCCCAAGGCTTAAAGGTTATTTAGGTCTAAACCTTCAATTGCATCATTCAACTCGCCAAACAGGGATGTGAAGGAGGAGTCAGGGCAACTGTGGCAGTATCTGGAACTATAACTTGAATATCCCGAATCATACCACTGTGGTGATGTGAACGACGATACCGTCTGCACGAGATTTCTATACTTCAAGTTCGAGAAAGGAGCCGCTGGCCTCGGCGAAAGCAGATCGATTGAGTGCATCTCCTTGGAAAGAGCTCCATACATGATTGAGCTGCAGTTAAAGCCACACCCCCGAATGCCGCTTAGAAGGACCTCACGTGTCGTATGAAGGAGATGAATTAAATTATTGACAGCTTCCTGTCTGCGTTCATTCATCACTTCTGCGTTTCATTAGAGACTGAGCACCTTTAGTGTCCATCTAGCCTTACCTATGACCATATCAGGTATCGGAAGCCCCAGGCTGTTGTTAATCCAACCGTTACTCTGCGACATGACAGTCGATGTTGATTCTTTGAACTGGGTTGGAAGTTGGAAATACCAGGAAATCCATAACCACAGAAATAGATCACGAGAGTATGTTGAGGGGATTTTTTCCTCTAGAGCATCGATCCAGATAGTCATCCAAATGTACACGGCTTCCTTGCATTCATAGTAGTCGGCTAGGACGGCCACCTTAGCAAGCATCTCAAGAGTTAACTTTCGCGGTATATGGTAGTGTTGATTATGAATAGCACGGAGTAGGATCAAGAGTGCTTCGATGTCCCAGCTCTCTGCAGTAATCTCGACTGAGCCTTTTTGCAGATAAGCGACACTTTCCTTCCAGCTGCCAGTAAGTATTTTCTTGAAAACTGAGGAGGCAAGCATTAAATGCTTCGCGGAGACTTGGATGCGGAAGCAACTCTCGTCCTGCTGTTCACAGGCGAGTCCGATTTCGATTGGACTTTCGGCAGGCTGTTCTTCGGTAGGTTGGTCTTCGGCAGGCTCTGGGTTAGACTCTTCGGCAGGTTGATCTTCGGCAGGCTCTGGGGCGGGATATTCGGCAGGTTGTTCTTCGGCAGGCTCTGGGGCGGACTCTTCTGGCGTTGGAGTCGGCTCAAAAGAAGCCCAAACAGCGCTAGATAATACATTCTTCTTTTTCTTCTTTTTCTTAGAAGTCGACTTTGGCTTTGCCATATGGTTCGTTGAGGTCTCAATATCCTCTGTAAGACCCTGGACATAATCGCATTGTTCTGGAAAGGGTTGAGAGACCATGCTGGCAATCATATCTTCGTCCGGTTGCGCGAAAGGAGAATCTGCGTTGCACAATATTATCACCACTTCGCCCTCTGGATCAAGAATATAAGTTGTTCGATTCATAGTGGCTAAGGAATAAACTAGAAGATGAGATCTTCGCCCAGTAAAAGAGAAGGGAGAAGAATAAATGCAGAGGATCGTGAACGATGTACAATATCTGGGAGGCTCGAAGTGATCCATTACTTGTGGACTTTTGATATATTCTCTGACTTACACCAAGGTGAATGCGTGGCTGTCCCTGATTGGGGCTCGCATATAGTACGTAGACTTTGACGTGTCACTCCATTTAATGGCTTTGACGTTTTTGATATTTTTATCAGAATGACAATGATTGGTCTGACATGACAGGCAAGGGCTCCATGAAATGTCCTATAGAGGGTAGATTTAGGCAGGTTGAATATTTCTACAGTGCGGTGAATACTTAAAATCCCTTTTCTTTTTGTAACGTAGATATTGCTAATATAATCCTTCCCTCTTGATCCACGAAATTCTGAGAGGCTTGACGGAATTTTGGTGGCTGGTAGCTGTTTGGATAGCGTAAATTTGAATGCGTCGGATTGGATTGGGGGGGTTGTCTGGCTCAGGTAGGTGTCCGATTTAGTTGATATTCACGTTATATCTCAAGATGAGCTGCTGCCTACCTATAATTGATTATATTAGAAACGCCTCAAGGTGTAGTCAAGTCGGACTCCCATCTGAGGGGAATAAACGAGTAAGCATTATAAGTCTATTTGGCTAGTTCGGATCTCTCTAGTTATATTAATACTTCAGATGCTGAAAAGCTCTCTTCCCCTATGATCTATCATATATTACTTCGGTTCCTGTAAGTTAGGTGGCATGGAGAGTCCAGCATAAGCTAACCTAACCACAGGGGGCCTGAATCAACAATTAATAAGTTTAAATAGCGATTTGGTGAATACATTGAGATTAAGCAGGAGGAGCAATAGGCATAGTCCACCCCTGGACAGCTGCGTTGATAGCTGCAAGTACAGTAATAAAGCCCACTACACAGACTTAGTAATGGGGCTTGCTATAACCAACTTGATCAATAATATCTGGCTAGGAGGGTCTAAGAGACATCTCGATTCATCCCGAACTAGCAACTAGCATAATTCGTGCTATTAATAACACCCTTCCACTCATCCAGAAGTCTTAGGGTCTCCTCGCATTTTTCCTTGATTGTCTCGTAGCAATCTGTACCAAGGGGTAGTCGAAAAGGGATCTTCGTTCCTGCGGCGACGCCCTCTGCTCTGACAAGGTCCAAAATAATGGATACTCCTTTTTGGACATCCCCGGGTTGCGCCCGATCCTCCGTAGCGAGCATTTTCCGTAAGTCCTCCGATCGCCCTATGTACTCAGGAATACTGGACTGCGCGACTTTCAGATTCGAGCTGGAGAGTAGCAACGTTCGAAACCGGCCGGGCTCAATCAGAAGAGTCCTGAGGCCTAGGGGCTCGGTCTCCCTCCAGAGACTCTCGACGAGGCCTGCAAAGGTCAATCGACTGCACTCGAGGAACTTACGAGGTATCTGACCTTCCAGGGCAAACTTGGTTCCTGAGTATGGACCAACCAATGGGTCACCATACCACCCTGATCGGGAGCTAATGAAGACAGTCGTCCCTGACCTCCTCTGTCGAAAATGAGGCAGAAGAGCCTTGGTGACTTTGAAAACACCGAAAACGTTCGTATCAAAATTTGCACGGAAATCTTCATCACTGCGGCAAAGGTATAAGCTGCACAGGGCTACTATAGTGAGAAAGAAGGCCGGGTAACTAACGGGACATTTTCCCAGGCTCCAACAGCAACATAAGCGGCGTTGTTCACCAGCACATCAATATGACCGTACATTGCAATTGCCTTTGCCATTGTCTGGTTGAGATTATCCTGGTCGCTTGTCACATCAAGCTGCAAGACGGCGGCTCCGGCGCTGCTCAGATCTTCTATGCTTTCGGCTCGGCGCGCGGTTGCAATGACTCGGTCTCCACGAGCGAGAATCTGCTCCACGAAGACCCGGCCAAATCCGGAGGAGCATCCTGTAACGAGCCAGACGAGGGGAGACATAGTAATTGATGCAGAAAGTCAAGATGAGCAGAGGAAGACTACTGTATGGGAATGGAATTGAAAGATATGTCTTCTAAAGCGCTTTTTATGTACTTGCTTCTCCAGAGGTTCCTTCCATCGTCGAGTACGGTAAAATCTGCTGTGACTCATTTACTCTGAGTCATATTGGAGTACTTCTGTAAGAGGATGCGTTAATGATCAGGCAAGGTAGTTTGTTGAGCTTGATAATGAGGGTGCGGAGTACTTGGGAGATACGTCCAGCATAATGCCGAGAAATCTTTTTTCATACACAGGGTAGCTCGTAAGCCACTTGCAGAATATACACTTTTAGGGCCAGTAGGAATCTGGGGTAGACATCTTGGCATTAGCCCTGGTAAGCACTAGTCTGAACCAGACTCGGAAATTGGGGGTTGAATGGTATTTGCTGGCCTTGATCCGGACTTGACAATCAGTATCTCCGGCACACAGATAAGCCATAGCAGGCAAACGTTATCTGGCTGAACCTAATGCAGGGCACAAAGAAACCTTCGGCCAAGGCCATTTCAGTCTTCTGATGCTCTGGTCATAGTTAGACTTCACCTTATAGTTTCAGAAACGTGCTTCATTAATGTCACTATTTTTACATGGAAAAAGACAATAGCGATGAGCGTATACAACTAGAGCTAACTTGATAAGAGGCGGCAGCAAGGGAATAGTTACATATTATTACTTCCCGTACTTCCTGTAAAGCATAACTGCCACATATCAAAAGCTTAGCCAAAAAGCTGTCTAGATAGCCATCTCTAGCTAGTAGGGATGATAGCAGCAGCGTCACCACAGCAGGGATACAACAATATCTATCAACTGCTTTAACGTCTAATAATCTGCGTTTCTCTTGGATTACTGCAGGTTGACAAGACCTACCAGGACACTATGACGCTCGTAGCAATCTATACAACTGACTATGAATCGAGTATTCAATGTTCCATACCAAATCACCTGCATATCAGTACAAATTAGGGGTCATACAGCTGAGACTGACTCTTCCGTGGTATCTCAAGTAGAGGTTCAAGTCTGTGAAGTAGAGCTGCGAAAAGTTTCTTTTCCTTGACTGGATTAGAAGCTGGCCAGGAGATTGAAATGGGCTTCCTACCCCAAGCAGCAGCATTCTTCTCCACAAATTCAGTCCAGGTAGTGGGCTTGCAATGGAGCAGCTTCGGGCTATCATCGAGACTTTCTCCAAGGAAATAGCCCGGATCCTCAACAATCAGGTGGTTCTCAAAGTACTCCTGAGCGTCAGCTTCCGGCTATGACGCCCTGTATTGCTCAAGCGCGGTCCTAACAACCACCTCTTCCTTCCCGGTAGTTACTTTGGAGAAGGTATCGACCGTCTCCTTGGGAGAGTAGTATGCAGAATTGCAAGGACATGCTGTCCCTTCATTTTGTCCAGGTTTTGAGAGCGGCTCAGGAAAGACCTAGGGCCGTTGGGCGGTCTGGAAGCTCCCTTGATACTGGCTGGAAATGCTTAGCAGTGTCCTCGGCGGCATCAAAAGGGGGACCTTGGCCCTCTGACCGTCCACCAGTAGAACGACTGATATACCCGTTGTCCTTCTTGGTGATCATCTGAGTGATGTTGTTCATATAGTAACTAGGAAGAACAAGTGTGCTCTGTACCACATGTTCTTTGATATACTTCTCGATGTTGCCTCCGTCACATGGGGAAGCGAAGAAAAATTGACGTGAGAATCACTAATATTCTTAGCCACCTATGTCACATTCTTGCCCTGGGAATACCGAATGTCGCCATTGGCGGCCTCCCAGTAGTTGGTGACTAAGAAAAAAAGTGTCCCCTTTTCAGGGCGTTGGTGAGAGACTCGTCGGAGTTCACACCGCCGGTGCGTATATATATCATATCAGTACTCGGCACACCGATAAACCCCTGACCAAGCACCAAAACAACATCAACATCTCGCTTGACAAGTTCCTAAGCTGATTCCATCGTTATGTCACAGGTAATGCCACGGATTTTGTTTTCTTCGGAGAGCTGGGATCTTCAAGAATGTGCTTGATAGCGTAACCAGTGGTTTCCGGTGTCACTAAGACAGTAATAGTCTTCGACATTTTGGAAGTGAGAACTAATCCTCTACTCAATAATACTGTTGAATCTCAGTCTCTTCCTTAAGGAGCATTCCGGTCGGTCTTTATATCTTCATTGTCACAACGCCAGAACAATACATGCAAGGGTCATGACTAAGAGCCCAGTAGATCATCCTCCATCCTCAAACGCACAGACCGAGGCCTTACACCCACACGCCAAGTTTGTAACTACGTTACTACGGTTGCTTGCGAAAGATTAGGCAGACTGCGACTCCGAGCGACCGAAATATAACAAAATAAGCTTTCGGCAGTTGCTTGACCTGTTCCATGGACGGTGAGATAAATGAGTTCCCTTATGTCAAGCCAGCCCCTTTTTTGCTAATCTGCTATCTGCTTTGTTCCTCCGCTTTTGGCTGTTCCTTTGTACTCCAGACGTACGACAGGTGCAGATTAGGTAATCTTTCCATTAGTGAATGGACGGGGTCTGCCCAGGGGGCAGAGAGATCAAGTTACCAATAGTCCATGTAGTAAGATAAGACTGGAGACACGTAGCACACAGCCGGAGTAAGCCAACCGCATTCTTTCACCTCGAACATCCCCCGATCGGATCTACAGCACATACGACCATGTCCAAAACCCTCTTTGACATTGTCTCCGAGTTAGATAAGCATGTATTCCTAAAGCTCTGGCACATTCTCAATGCATAGATACTAACACATCGTAGCTTCCCATACTACGAGGAGGAACCAGTACGCTTCACGCAAACGCTCAAATCCTACCACGCATTCAAAGTACAAGGCATCGATGCAAGTCTCGGATACATCCCAAACTCCCTTGTGAAGAGCATCGCATGGCCAAAAGAATATTGGATTATCGAGTCCGGGGCAATTGTCCTACTGAACCCCCCAGACAATGCAGCGTCCATACGCACTCGAATCATTCAAGACGCAATCAACAGGATGATTGAAGCCGGGTATACCAATATCCTAAAGGGCTGGCGCAACGAAAGATTCCCAGTTTACGGACCCGGTGGCGTCGTTATCTTGGAAATTGAACGGTCAGCTAGCTCACTATTCGGCATTGTAACCAGCGGCGTTCAGATGCTTTGCTACGTCAAAGACGCCAAAAATGGTATTCACCTCTGGATCGCTAAGCGCTCGATGCAGAAGCAGACCTATCCGAGCATGTTGGACTGCACTGCGGCCGGGGCCTTGAGCGCGGGAGAGTCGCCGCGAAGCGCCATGATTCTCGAGGCTACAGAGGAAGCGTCTATCGAACGTGAAATTATCGAGAGTGGCATGAGCTTTGTCGGGGCTATCTCGTATTTCCACATGAAAGAGTCATCTATTGCGCTAGGGACTGACGGGGCCTCGACGGCTGTTCTGTTACCCGAGGTCGAATACCTGTATGAGCTTCAGCTGGACGAAGGTATTGTTCCCCAACCAAAGGATTCCGAGGTTGAAGACTTTCGACTTTGGAATCTGAACCAGGTGCTTGACGCTTTGGGCAGGGGCATGTTTAAACCAAATAGTGCGGTTGTGGTCATTGACTTTTTCATTCGCCATGGCGTCATCACACCAGAGACGGAGCCAATGTATGAAGAGATTGTAAGAAGGCTGCATCGGCGGCTGCCGTTTCCTACAGCGGAGTGGTCCGCATAATCATGCACATCTTTCGATGACTCCTTATAGGAGCCAGCGGAAAGACGAGGGGCAAGACCAAATTCATGTGTGCTGCACTTAAGCTATTGTCCCCATCTTCAATAAAACGCGACCAGTTGAGGCTCCTGCTCCAGAATAGTATTACACTCGAGACTGCCGTGAACGCGCAAGAGAAAAGTTTCAGATCCTCCCGCCCGGTCTAGTTGGCCACAATTTCAACGCGGCTCTACATGGACGTTATATAAAAGATGTAGAAGACTACTGCAAAATCTATCCCTCCACGGCAAAACATGTGATGTAAACTTTGCCTGATTTAGGTGTCGCCAACTGAAAGCAAAGGCGCAACAGCACGGACACTCTGATCTATGGCGAAGTCTCAGATAATAGACGCGGAAATAGAAGCTGATCTCGGTCTGAAGTTGTCCAAGACTCCATTGGAATGGCACCTCGAAGACCAGGATTGTTTCGTTCTTCATTTTATTGCGAGCCAGTACACATGTTTAGGTCTGATGTATGTGTCTGGCACAGCCGATGACCCAGCCCTTATTCCACACTCTTAGACGATGGCACAAGTGGGGGAATTTAAGCCATAATATGCTAAGGATATTCACCAGCAACAGAACTATCTCTTAGAGGGGTAAGGGACACGAAAGTTATGCTCGCACCACCATACCGGCCATCACCGCACCCACCAGCATCATCGGCGCCATTGTTCTACCTGCGACGTTTCCAGAGGCTGTCGTGCTCGTGGGGAAAGTGCCTGCTACGGTCGCACCTGCAGTAGAGCTCGTCGTTTTGTTCGTTGTAGCTGCAGTAGCAGTCGCCGCAGTGCCAGTAGGGAATGGACCTGTCCCTGCCACAGTCAAGGTAGCCGACACGATTTCCCTAATCTCGGTTCCAGGGAGAACAAATGTCCTATCACGAGTCACGGTGGAAGAGCGAATGTGCCATGACTGGCTGTACGAGCAAGTGGCGGTGGTGGGTGTGGGAGAGCCTGTAAAGGTGCACCCGGTGCTTGTATAACTAGGACCGTCAGCGCGTAGCAGGATTATTTCAACAGTAGAACGCACTGAAAATTGTTGCTCATGATGAGGTCGTAGGCTGCGTGATCCGGTCAGTCATGTCCATTGACCGGGTACATCGAAGGCCTACAGCTGGGAGCAGCGATCAATGTCGCGTCTGGATCGAGCCTGAGACAAGACGTTTTGTCACTTGCTGGAGGGCAATTGATTGCGTACGTCGTCGTGTCCCCGTTCTCGAGTAATGGTCAGATTATGACAGACGGTCCGCGGCGCCATAAGACATACTTCACCTATCACGCGTCCCTCATAATCCTGCCAGTAGTTGCTTGAGCCTGCAAAGCCTACCCATGGCATGGTCTGCTCGGTATGAGCATCATCAAATACAGTTTATGGAAATTATGCGTGATGCACTTACTAGGACAAATTCCGCCAGACTGAGCTTGAAACAGCCCAGCGGGACTAATAATGAGAGTGCGTACACGGACCGCATTCTGTGCAGGCTGACCTGGACGTAAAGCTATCAGAGCTCCCTGCATGGAATGTTGGAATGAACATGATTTATATCTCTGCTGACCATTTTTGCAATATAGGGCGCCTCACTTCTCTGAGCTAATGCCTAAGTCTAACCCACTAGTTGCTTCTTAGGTTGCATTCAGCGCAGTGGTAAAGCCAATCATACTGGTCTCTGGTCGGTTAGCTTGGAACAAGCCCAATCAAGTCGGGCATAGAACGTCTCGCCAAGCAAAGTTTTACCATAAGTCCTGACTCATTGTCTAGGAGGGTCATTGCGGCTGATTTGAAGAAAGATTGTTGGTTTATCGTCAAGGTGTATTGATGGAGCTGATAGAGACATGGTACTTTATGGAAGGTACATTGATTATTCCTTGGTCACAGTCTGAATGATGTCTGAGAGATGAAAGTCATAATTATGTATCCCGCTCTCCTGGAATGGAGAAAGGTAAACAGTACTGCCGTCAGCCCTTTCATTCTTTCCATCATCCGGAGCTGCTAACGGCGAAGCGGTAACAGCCGAGCTGACAGCCGTGGTATTTGGATGCAACGAGATTGAGAGCAGTTCTGCATGCTTGATTCATAGTATACCGTTATCTGTTTATGACAACAAAGCGAATATTGAGAGCAAACCAATATACCAAGAAAGACAGTAAAACATGATCGCAGATCTTAGGATCAGTATGGATGAAGGTCTCCTTGCCGCATTCTCAGTCTCTATGACTAATGTGGGATTTTCCATAATACCCCTTATTTCAACCAGTGCACAGCGGCTATGGTCCAACATGAAGCCATGGTCCCGCAAGCTCACCAGCTCAGTTTACACTGGCAGTGAACTTCGACACTTTCATGGTGGCACGACCGCCAGTGAACGGCTCAGTCCCGAATTGCATATCTACACCAGTCAGTCACGAACGAGCAGGTTAACTGAGGGCACTTACTGATCAGGTACTGGCTCGAAGCAGGGTAGCCATGGTTGTTGGTCAGATAGCGCCAAAAGTCCATGACATCTCCACTGAATGAGGTGATCGGGGTGGCAGAGACAAAGCTGTACGTCTTCTGGGTACTGCCGCCGTACCACAGCTCCCACGTATGGCCGGCAATATTGGCAGTGCCAATCCGCGAGCCGATGGGCTGGACGCCACCGTAGCGGGCGAGCCTATGCCAATCGGTTAGGTCCATTTAGTCCAACCTGAAGACAAACTCATACCAAATCATCAGTTCATAATCCCCGCTGTAGGTTACATGGTTGATATCCGCAGCTGTGAACAGATCGTACGCTACGTCCGCACGAATGTTGGTGTTATCGTAGCTCCACTGCACGGTGGTTGGGATACTGCCGATCTGGCTGACATGCTTCTTGGTAAGGGCGACCTGCGAGTTGGCGTAGCTCTTGACCTGGTTATCGCCGCCAGACCACGTCCAGGTCGTGTGCCACGCCACGCCGGAGTTGGAGATGCTATCAACGTAGGTGCATTGGGAGCCGGAGCCGGAGCCCTGACCCCAGAGGTTGTTGTTGACTGTATACCGGCCGTTGCTGTAGGTGCCATACTGGTTACAGAGGGTTTGAGCGAGGGCAGAGGAGAAGAGGGCTCCAAAGATTGCGAAGGTCTTCATGTTGTTCTGCAGGAAATTCTCTCTTAAGGCTTGGACTGGAAGAGAATTGACTCGACAAAGACCAGGACGGCCTTCTTTATAGATGCTGAACCGCAGGTGAAGACCACCTCCTCTGAAGAAGCCATTGTGTCCTCAAGGCTGTTGGTGTTTCATGTTGACAACAGCCTAATCACGGCCCTCACCTGTTGAAACATTCTGTAACCGGATATAGAGAATATAGGACTAGGCCTTCTCTATACAGAAAGAATCGCCATGACAGTGTCCCATTTGAAACAATCTGCCGGCAAATACGGTATCTGCACTGGTAATTGCATCCTGGGGACAGGCATCTAGGCCCGAGAAGCCGATGGGTAGGACCCTGAATATCTTCAACTCGTGTCTAGGCTAATTCGCTAGAAGTAATATCTCCGTTGAATGGTCTCTTAGGTATAGACGAAGCGGAATAGAGTGCCCTAACACGGAAATGGTAAGTCTGAATAGCGCCGGAGTTTAAGCCAACCAAGATTTGTCTTCAGCGCCACACGGACCTACCCTGCATTTTACAGTGAGGTATCGGCATCTGGCCGATATCCTCAACTGCCTAGCATTGTAGCGAGGCGGGGTTAAAGGCCAAGTCCGCACGAAAGGGGAAATCCTGAAGCTGATCATCATTTCGACTTGCCAGCTTGCCTGAATGGGTAAATGGGGTCTCTCCCGCGACTCTGAGGAAGATGCCTGATCTTATAAACAGGCATAAATGCCGAGGAGCTATACCGTCAATAAGCAGGAAAATTCAAAGAAATCTGCACCCAAAGCTTTGTGACATATGTCCTTTCCGCGGTGTGAAGTGTCAGCCGTCCCCATTCATGTTGATCTCTGCTCCTTTGTTCGCACGCCGCAGAACGACTGTACAGGCCTCCTTAAAAGGAGACGGCCAATACTTAATCAAATGCACAGCCGAGACCAAACAGACTAGTAGATTCGGCCTTGATTTGTCGGCTTCCCCCACCCCGCAATGCCCAGCGTCCACGACGCGGTCATAATCACGCCCATCCTTTGCGGGGAAATAAGGAAAAGAATACTAGCCGTCTCTAGTGAGCCCATGCCTTGCACCAGTCCAATAATGATGGCCCATGTAATATTAATCTCCTTGGTAAAGTTTGCGGAGAACTCAGCGATGTAACAGTGCCACGAGAGCGAAGCGATGTCGGGGTGCATCTTTCAGAGCCATGCGATGATTTTACAGCAGGAAAATGCAGTCTAGCTCATCAATCTAGACCCCGCGAGATGGTCCATTCCATCTTTCATTCCGATCTGCCCGCTGTGGCCGTGCACTATTGATTCTAATAACAGTGGCATGGCCCATGCGGGGAAGCAAGGGGCCTCTGCCCCTGTCGATTCTTTCCCTCTCGCTATTTTTTCGGCGCAGGATAAATAGCGACGAACCCCTCCCTGTCCGATCAGTTTCCCAGTGATCAGCATCGACGTCCGCTGACATGCAGAACCTGTTCCTTTCTCTTCTGGCGGCCGCCGTGACCGTCCACGCCTACGGTTCCGGTGGCAGCAACTGGGATCTAGCGTACTCTCGCGCCAAAGATGCCCTGCACAAGCTCAACCAGACCGAAAAGGTAGGGCTGGTGACTGGTGTCACATGGATGGGCGGCCCCTGCGTAGGCAACACATACAAGCCTGAGTCGATCGACTACCCTTCCTTGTGTTTGCAGGACTCGCCGCTGGGTATCCGCTTCGCAAATCCCGTCACGGCCTTCCCAGCGGGTATCAATGCCGGTGCGACCTGGGATACGCAGCTGCTGTATGCCCGGGGAGCAGCAATGGGCGCTGAGGCGAAGGGACTGGGTGTTCATGTGCAGCTTGGTCCCGTGGCTGGACCTTTGGGCAAGAATCCCAACGGAGGCAGAAATTGGGAGGGATTCTCGGTTGATCCGTACCTGAGTGGTGTTGCTATGGAGAAAACCATCAGAGGAATGCAGGACTCGGGAGTGCAGGCTTGCGCCAAGGTATACTCTCCCCGTTAACCTGAAGAGCTTCGTGCTGATTATGAAGTAGCACTGGCTGGGAAATGAGCAGGAGCACTACCGCGACACAATCAGCTCGAATATCGGCGACCGTGCAGCACACGAGCTGTACGTGTGGCCGTTCATGGACGCAGTCAAGGCCGACGTCGCGTCGGTAATGTGCTCGTACAACAAGGTCAACGGCACCTGGGCGTGCGAGAGCGACGCGATCAACAACAAGCTCATGAAAAAGGAGCTCGGCTTCCCTGGGTACATCATGAGCGACTGGAATGCGCAGCACAGCACTGTCAACAGTGCCGTATCCGGACTGGACATGACCATGCCCGGGAGTGACTTCAGCAGTCCTCCCGGCAGTATCTTCTGGGGACAGAATCTGGAGGCTGCCGTGGCCAACGGATCCGTCCCGCAATCTCGCCTCGACGACATGGTCACTCGTATTCTGGCCGCGTGGTACCTCGTCGGCCAGGACAAGGGGTATCCTCCCGTGGCCTTCAGTTCCTGGAATGGCGGCAAGGCCAACGTCGACGTGACAGTCAACCACGCCACCGTCGCCCGTGCCGTCGCTCGCGACTCGATCGTTTTGCTCAAGAACAACCAGGGCGCCCTGCCCCTGCGCAAGCCCAAGAGTCTAGCGATCGTGGGCCTTGATGCCATCGTCAACCCTGCCGGACCCAATGCCTGCTCTGACCGCGGCTGCAACAATGGCACACTCGCAATGGGCTGGGGAAGCGGAACCACCCAGTTTCCCGTACGTTTGAACGCATCCTCTTGAATTCGACATGCTAACTGGACAGTACCTCGTCGGGCCCCTTGACGCCATCCAGAAACGCGCTGTGGCCGACGGCACCAAGATCGTCCCCAGCACCACCGACGACCCCACCGCGGGAGCGTCTGCGGCCGCTGCGGCCGAAACAGCCATCGTCTTCATCAACTCCGACTCAGGCGAGGGCTACATCACCGTCGAGGGCAACGAGGGCGACCGCAACACCCTGGATCCCTGGCACAACGGCAACGAGCTAGTCAAGGCCGTCGCAGCCGCCAGCAAGAACGTCATCGTCGTCGTCCACAGCGTCGGCCCCATCATCCTCGAGACCATCCTGGCCCAGCCCAGCGTCAAGGCCATCGTCTGGGCCGGCCTCCCCGGCCAGGAAAGCGGCAATGCCCTTGTGGACGTGATCTACGGCGACACGGCCCCTAACGGAAAGCTCCCCTACACCATCGCCAAGCAGGCAGCCGACTACGGCGCCAGCTGGATCAATGCCCAGACGGATGACTTCACCGAGGGCTTGTACGTCGACTACCGCCATTTCGATGCACAGGGGATCACCCCACGGTACGAGTTCGGCTATGGCCTGTCCTACACCACGTTCAAGTACAGCGGTCTCTGGGTGAACGTGTTCACGACTGCCGGTGCGGCCAACGGCCAGGTTGTTCCCGGCGGTCCCGCCGACCTGTTCGAGGTGGTCGGTCAGGTTTCCGTCTTTGTGAGAAATAATGGACGCGTGGCTGGTGCCGAGGTGGCCCAGCTTTACATAGGTCTTCCTGACTCTGCGCCTGCAACGCCCCCTAAGCAACTGCGTGGCTTCCAGAAGCTGATGCTCCAGCCTGGCCAGATGGGCCGCGCGACGTTTGATCTGACGCGCCGGGATCTGAGCTACTGGGATGTGCAGCAGCAGAAATGGGTGGTGCCCAGTGGAACGTTCCAGGTGTATGTTGGCAGCTCGAGCAGGGATATCCGGGAGCAGGGTTCTTTCAGGGTCCGTCGAGGATGGTCTTGAGGTAGTATCAGTATATTGTTATTGGAAAATCTATAGTTGAGCACTATAATATCATTCTTGAGTCTAGTTAATCATGAACTTGTCTTCACCTGTCCGTTTCCAATACCGTTAGACCATGCTTGTAGACATGACTAGCTCCATAGCCACCAAGTGCTGAAGAGGTAGCGTATAGCTACATATTGCTGCATTCTAGCAGCGCCAGTCTCCGTAGTCTCTCTGAAGCTGAGCACACCTCTCCACCGCAGAGAGACAAATATCACGCATGAAACTGGGAACACGGTCCAAGAGCTTGCTGTCCAGTATAGGATCCTCCGCCCTTCTCAGACGTGCCAGGTTACTGGTTGTAAGTTGCACGACAAGATCCCTGAGTCCCCGATCATTCTCCGCTGTGGAATTGTACACTTCAATGACAGCGGACGTGAATGAATCTCGAGTTGGGTACCTCACGGACTCCTTGAAGTACTCCTTCGCCTTGCACTTGAGAGCATCAATTTGGAAGTAGTCGCCCTGAGCGTACATCTGCGCATGGAAGTAAGCCTTCCCGGTTCGTGGAGTTGCCATGCTTGTTTGTCCCTCAACCTCTGCGAAATGTTCGATCTCTCCTTCGGACAGCGGTTCCATCTCCGGATATTCTTGTGGTTCGTAGGTATAGTTGCCCGTGTAGAGAAATTCAAGCGCCTTCTTGACCAGGGTTGGATCTCGGTCATCAAGTCTTATCTGCCCGTCACCTTCCTGTCGATGCATGCATATCAGTATTGTATATAGGTAAAGAGGGAAGCGAAACACCTTGAATCTTCCATCACACGCCACCTCAAAATACTTGGATTGAGGATAGATGATGTTCCTATGAGCTGGGAAGTCTTGATCATCACAGATGATGGTCAAATCGCTGTATTTTGGGTTGAGGAAATTGCTACCAGCGAAGTCAGTTTTGTGGAGGGCCGGTGGAAAGGGTTGAGAATCTCTCACCTAATGACAAGCACTTCCATTTTTCTGGTGTGTTCGTTATCTAACTCACATTGTATAGCAGCTGTTGGAGTGCTAGGTCCCTTTCATTTTCTCCCTCCCATTTGGACACTAGAGAGTTTTGGAGTCTTGTAGAAATAGAGAGCAAATTGGAATTAGAGACGGGGGACGCGGTTGCTCTCTTTGAGCTGGTCAGGACAGTGTAAATTCACTAATGCAGCCAGCTATAAAGAGTATCCACTTACAGTTTGCTCCGGGGGTCTTTGCATGAGAGATGTGACTTTAGAATGTAGTGGCTGTCACTGTGGCTATAACCTCTCACAATTGATACGATTGTCCTCTCTTAGTACTATCACTGCTCTGCCTGCCTGCCACGCGACTATATTCCTCTGCTTTAGTGAATATGTACTCTTAACGCCGGCTTGTTAGGGGGTTGGATCGCGAAGTGTTGCTTTTATTTGAGCTTGGTTGTGTAGCGCCATTTATGCAGCTTTGTACCAACGAGGACGAGACACGTCACCGACAACTACTTCTACATCGCCACCACAGGTCGCAATCAAAACCATCGGCAGGGGATTCAGCTTTGACTCGGAGGCATAGATGACACAGTGAGTTGTCCAGCCCCGAGCCGGTCAATCGACCGGAGACAGAAATGCAGCGGAGAGGCGTTCTCCCTAGGACGGACTCTTTAGCAGACCAGCTCTGACTTGGTAAATGCATTGAGCGAAGTGGTAGCCCCTGATCCTTGTTCACGTAGCAAAGGGCGAGCACTCGCCGCAAGAGCCTCGACGCTAATCTGTTGGAGAGATCCCATCGTCCCACGTGAAATAAGTCCCAAGCCGGTGCAGTGGGCAATCGAACTCGGCTTTGGTGTATGAGAGATGGTGATCCTGCGGTTGGCTAAAACAGAAAACAATGGCCTGGAGAAACCCCTGCTCGGGTTCATCGAAATACTCGAGGAAGAGCGGACGGATACATGTTGAGGACATCTTTGGCATTGACAACTCTTGGCTCTGAACGAGGGAGCATCGCGGAAAACTGGATGGTCCCGAAAAAGGCTCCCAGGGGAGTGTCATTCGGGCAATGACAACCTCCAAGTTGCTCGAAATCACATAGACTTCCGCTCGATCGGCGGCCAATCAGACAAAATTGCCTCATAATACAAACCTGTGAGCTGATGATGATCAAGCTGAAAGCCCCAGGCAGCAGCAACCTGATCATCAGGCATATATAAACCACAACTTCCTATCTCCCGCTGGACGCTGATCGCGCCATCTGTGGTTATAAACCTGAACCAGAAATGTTCTGGGTGATTGAGAGCAACCGTGATGGCCCTCACGCGAGGCATACGCCTTGCGGCGTAACCCAAAGAGATAAACAGCCGATGGAACTGCTCTTGCTTGAAGATGGGTCCCTCGAGGGGTCGCTCCAGTTCGTCCGTTTCGTAGCTGGACACTTCTCTCCCCTCTGCAGTAAGGTGAACGATCCGCTCACCTGTTTATAATTGGAAAGTTAGTGGTTTAGGTGTCTGGCATATTGCACCTACGGTGTCCATACAAACATATGGATATTTGAGGGAAGGGTTCCTACCTGAAGGAAGGAAGGGCTGAAATGATAAACTCAAAATTTCCAAATTGGGCCAGTGCAAAGATTTGTTGGCTGGTAGTGAGTGATCTTCCTCATCCAAAGGCCAGAGGAAATCCAGGGACACAGGAACTTCCCCTAGTTGTAGCTCACGGAGGGAAAGACTCAGTTCTCGGATTCTGATGGATAGGACATCAACGCTTGACGATAAAACATTCAAGGCAGGCACGACATCCTGCCAATCCCACTCGTATTCATAGGCGAAGTGAAAAACCCTCAAAGAGAGGGAGATATCTTTCAGACCTTCAGCGACAGCTACATGTGAATCAGCAAGGAACCGAGAGCACTGGGAATAAGGCATAGTGGTATTGCTGGACAGGAAAGCTTCATACCCTGACGCCGTTGTTTCATGTATTCCAGGTGTCCTGGTGTGATCCACCGATCCAGGTCCATATATAGTTCTGTGAGTTCCGGACAGTGTCGAACAATCTGCATTATGGCCCCTGCCCATATCCCCTTGGGAAGCGATATTTTATCAATGCATGAAACATCGCGTAGCATCGATGTACCATTACTATTGAATCGCGCGCGATACACAGGGACAGACCGTGTCAGCCCATCTCTATGCGATATAACTTCTTCACTCTCTGTTGTATAAGGCTCCTCGCCTAGCTCACGTCCTCGAAGTACCAGAACGACAGACAGACGATGAATCTTATCCCAAGACTCTAGAGCGTTGAACAGATTGATGACTGCTGATTGAAAGGCGGTGTCATTTGCCTGTCGAACGGGATTGTTGGTGGTATAACCTTCCTCTTGATGAGTCGTCCAGTCTGGGAGTTCAAAGGGGAGAACAATATAGTAACGCAGCTGACGAACCCATACTCGTCTTGTGATTCGTGGCCCAGAAGTGAATTCTCGGAATTGGTTGAGGCAAAGGCTGCGTCCATTGTAACCATCCTCACTATACACCTTCAATTCGGAGTAAATGAACGACTCAAACACTGCCTGCCAGCGACGACAGACAGTGGTACATGCGACCAGAGAAGCGCCTGCATCTTGGAGATTGATTGCGATCTCACATAGAAGTTCGAATGGGAGTCTGGCTGCCATATCTGTTGGATGAAAGTTGTTTATATCTAGTAGCCGGACGTGTCTCTCACAGGCAACAGTGGAGAGTGCAGACTGCAGGATGACAAAGCACACAGGTGTCAACAATCTAGACTTGGCCTGGCGCAAAATTATTGTGAAACATGAGTATAGGACCTGAGAATGCCAACAAAGTCGTCTGTGACACAGCCATCATTTTCTTACCCCATCGACATACTGCGAGATGACATAATGAAGAAGCAACAAGACGGTATTGAGCGACAGGGCCAGCTCTCCGCCATTTGGCCACCCCATGTAACTCCACTGGCATCGTACAGTGCAGTGAACAGCACGATAGAAAGTATACTGACAATTTAGCTCCTGATATTCCTCCACTGTAGGTACAACTGTGCTTAGCTCCATGGGTTCTGTACGATACTATTGAGAGTACTAATCCGCCGCGAAGGAACTGCCGAGGAAGTATGAGGGCTCGACGCAGATGTTTGTTTATCAGCATCCATTTATTAAATTTTGATAGGAAAATAGATTGTGTCGCTGGGAGAAGAGAGAACAGATTGCCTAAGTGTTGCTCCCTTGAAATTGATGATAGTAGGATGAGAACAGACAGGGCCATGCTAGCTACTTAAGTGGCCTTTCTGAAGACCCATAGCGCTGTTATTAGTATCCACTATTCTGGAAACATGGATTTTATGTAATAGGCAGAATGTGGTTACAGATCGGCTCTGGTCAGGATATTCACTCCGGCGTGGTGAAATTACTTAGTAAGCCCTTGGCAGTCATGTGACTCGCGAGACTTCAGGGCAGCTCGGGTGACCTGCGTACACAGTGACCTGTGTACACGGTTTTCAATAGCATATTATTTTGCGGGTCTCATTACCATATCATTTTAATTTGTAGGCCTTGAATCAAGTACTTTCTGTAACCCGTTCCTTAATGTGTATTAAGCTGCTGTACACGTTTTGATATATATTTTTGTCAAGATCCACTTGGATTGGCACGACTTACCACAAATAGTAGTAAATATCAATGTTACATTCTTTTTAGGGATATTAGCAGAGATGCAATATATATAAATTGGTCTTATATAGCTAGATGATGGATGGACATACATGTCATACTGGTGGAAAAAGGAGAAGATGAAGAATTGGCACGTCTTTCGAGACTCTCTTATTTGGCCTATGAGACCACCCAGTCAGTCCATTTTGCGGTCTGAGATAGGATAACATGCACTGGACTCTTACCTCGGGCATTTGGTACAAATCAAGCCCTAGCTTGAATAGATGAAGCTCTAACCGCGTAATCTGATATGATCATGCCTAGTACTGTCTACCTATGAAAGCAATCAACAACGATTGACATACTGCCCCATTTCAATCTTTTACATGGTGGCTGAAACGAACCAACCATACGAGTACCGTTACTTTAGCGGCAGGCAGTAGGTGCAATGTTACTCGTTTGCCCTTGTTTACAATGCATAAGTTGGCGGCTACTGAGCTGCTAGTATGCACGTCGGCATCACGAAGCCAGAATAAGACAATGCGGTAATAGGAGTAGGCTGCAAAGGAAACTAAAGGAACAGAACGACGGTACAGTCTTTGCCTGGGCTCAACAGAGTGGTCGGGAGGGTTGATTCCATCAGTCCTTCAGCGTCTTCGGTTGGTCCAACAACGTCGGCTGATCGTGAGGACTAACCGCCAATGAAGATATACAACCACGATTTGAGCTCTGGTCATCATGTACATCTGGTCCTTTTTTTATCTCTTTCTATACGGTACCGCATAATCCTTTAACGAAAGCCAGCTATGATGCGGAGATCAACTCTTTTGTTTCTCAGCTTCCACCGCATCGGGTTGCCGGTGCGGCACCTCCTTCACGCCCCTCCACTCCATCCCTAGGGCCCCAACGACCAATAAGGAGGATGCCGCAACGGACAGATAGAATGTCGACGTGATCGCACGGTTGTACGCCTGAATCACCCCCGTCAACATCGCACCCGACAGGCCCTGGCGCAACTTGGTAGCGCCGACCGATGCAACCACTGCCGCCTCGACGCCCGCGACCTGCGACAGGTTCGCGGTGAGGAAACTCGCGAACAACGCCTCTGCAATGGCGAGGGAGATTGCGCCACCGAGCTGATTGGCAAACATCAGCAACGACGCGCCCACGGGCACATCCGCCGGCGTCAGACAGGTTTGGATCGCGACATTGGCCTGGTGGAAGCCCAGGCCGACGCCGACGCCGAAGATCGCTTGGTAGCCGATCCACTGCGCGCGACTGCTGTCGGGCTCCAGCGTCGAGAGCATCCCGGCCCCGACAGCCGCCAGGACCGTCGAGGCGAACATGAACGGGTTGTAATACCCAAAAGTCGAGACCAGAACGCCCGCCCCAATGCTCGCCACCACCATCGGCAGCAGGAACGGCAGGTTCATGATGCCCGATTGCTCTGCGTCGGCATCGCGGATGGCTTGAAACCAGATCGGAAGGTAGTAGAGCATCACCATCATGGCGGAGGACATGCAGGTGGTCCACCACACGCCAACGAGGACGCACCGCTGCATGAAGACCCGGGGCGGGACCAACGCCCGCTCTTTGTTCCACGCCTCCCAACACACAAACGCCACGAACAAGACTCCACTGAGGACAAGCAGCAGCACGACGCGCCAGCCGCTCCAGTCGGAGGAAGAACTTCCCCGTTGAAGCGCCAGCAGAAGACAGACCACGCTGGGGATCAAGACCAGATTTCCCAGCGGATCCAGCCGCAGCAACTGGTGCCGGAGACTCGTCTGGGTCTGGTTTGGCGGCGGAACACGGAGTAGAAGAAAGATCACCACCATGGCGGCGCCTCCGAAGGGCAGGTTGATGTAAAAACACCACCTCCACGTAAGGTGTTTTGTGAAAACGCCACCCAACAAGGGCCCCAGCACGGAGGCAATCCCGAAGATCGCCCCATTGAGGCTTTGGAATATGGGCCGCAGCCGCGGAGGGAACGTCAGGACGATGACGAGAATGGCGCCGGAAGCAATCCCTCCGGACCCGATGCCCGCAACAGCGCGGCCAACAATCAATGTCACGGAGGACGCTGCAGCACCGCAAACGGCAGAGCCAACCTCAAAGATCGTAATGCAGGCAATTAACACCCATTTAGCCGGGTAGAAAGTATAGATTTTGCCGTACATGAGCTGCGACGCGGACGCGGTGAGCATAAAGGCACTTCCATACCACCCGATATCGCCCAGACTCTGGAACTCGTCCGTGATCTGCGGAATGGCCGTCGCGATGATCAATCTGTCCTGGACGGGATTAGGGCTCAAAGTTTGTGGGAACCAGAGGAATGCGGGGCTTATTACACACCAGAAAAACAAGAAACACAGTGGTATAGAGGGCTATCATGATCAGGATGGCCTGCGCCATGGAAGGATATCGCGCCGACTGCTGTGCGGGTGTCGATGCCACTGTTCCACCATTCATCTCCTCTGATATCCGTCCCTCCGCCACGGGCTCTTTACAAGGTTCAGACATGGTCGAAAACTGCGGGTCTGCAATTCAATAATGTTGAAAGGTCAACGGAAAGATGAGTTGCACTGTTCCGTGGTGGGTGGGTTGAAGCTGGGGGAATCGGAGGTTGGAAGGAAGGGATACGTTCACATTCCTCTCCCCGATTCTGCCGCAGCTGGGTGATAACCCGTCCGTATCGATGCTTACTATCACGTAAAGCTACAATCTATGCCATTCTACGTGAGCAGGTTTGCGCCCTGTTGAAGATTCCTGTTCTATTGAAAACGGTTATTCCCTATGGTCTTATGCAGCCTGTCTGGACTATGTTACGGAGCGGATATCGCAGGCTCTCGCGCTATAGCATCGCTATCAAAGGCTTGGATGGTCCGGCAGTAATCCTCCACGACATATTCCACCTGCTCTGGACTGAGAACGTGACTCGAAATTGTGATGTCTACACGCAGCTCGTCTCCGGTAGGGTGGATATGCACATTGGCACTCTCGGACGGATTATTAGGAAGCACTTTGTAAGTGGTCTCACACGCCACTCCATCCAGCCAACACGGTGGATCAATCTCGTAATTGCGTACGCGCACAAAACTGCCCATCGGGGTTGTCTCGGGCCATGACGTGCAATTCTTCACAATGTCCTGGTATTCCAATGCCGCGCACGACATTGTGCCCAGGAGCTGCTGCTGCACGGTGCGCAAAAGCTCCAGTTTGCACGTCGATGGTTGGAACGATACGCGGACTGGAACTATGCTGATACATGGCCCAATGATGCGATCCTCATGGGGCACATCCAGTTCGCGCCCGTGGAAGACTTGTCCGAAGACGACGTCCGCGGTGGTCTCTTCCGCACAACGGGTGATGGGAGCAAAATACCGCAGCAGCGTGACTGCCCACGCGGCTTTGAGAGCTGTAGATAATGTGATATTGGTTGGGGGGGACACGCGCGGGATTGTTTTCATAGCCTTCACTAAATATGCTGGTGCAGCTCGCCCCGTCCCAGCGGGAACGGGCAGCCGGTGCTGGCGCAGCGATGTCATCTGTGACCCATGCAGCAGACGTCGCCATGTGCTATAGGCGGCGTCCGTCTTCATGGCTTTTGCGGCGCGCAAATGCGTCAAAAATGAGCTGGTGGGAGGCAAGGACCGGCCGTTATACAACGCGGAAAGATCATGAATCAGATTATAGAGCGAGTAGCCGTCAAACAGCGCATGTGCGAGTCGGAAGACGAGAAACGTGTCCTGGGCACCTTTCAGGGTCACCAGCTGCACGTCCAGCGGTGGTTTCCCACTACTCGTGGGGGCCTGGGCAGTGGCTCCGTCCTCTGAGCAGTGTCGATCAAGATCGTCGACCTCGTAATCGTGGATTAATATCTGCCACTCTTTGAGAACCAGCTGGATCGTCTCCCCATTATCAGATGTGAAGACAGTGCGAAAGATAGCGTGCCTGTCGACCAACGCCTGGCATGCACGGCAGAGTCGGCCCCGGTCAAAATTGGGAGGCAATGCAACGCAGTAGTAGCGGTAGTTCATTATCGCCAAGGTCATCTGCTGGAATTCGGAGAGAGGATGAGCATCGACGACACTGCTAGATATCTCTGCCGACAGCCGTTTGTATATCCTCTCGTACTCATTTGACCCGGAGGGTATGTTGAGTGTGTCAATTCGGCTACCCTCCGAATCTGAGCGCCGGGCACCAGATGCAACCGATCGTGATGCCGCAGCCATGTCAATGACCACTGGGGACTTAAAAATTGTGTCCTCGGTCAAATGTATCCCCTCGCGCTTGGCAATAAGGGCCAGCTCGAACGATGTAATGGAATCCCCACCAAGGCTGAAGAAGTTGCTGTCCAAGCGCACGGCCGTCTTCGGCATTTTGAGAACCCGCGAAACGATATCCCTAATCCTTTGTGCCCTTTCTTCGACTAACAACGATTGCCCGGTGGTTCCAAGTTCTGGCGAGGGACGGGATTCTGCCAAAGGCTTCGCCACCTCGGCCATGTCCGATAGGACCGGGTGGAGGAAGATATCTTGAACAGTCAACAAGAGTCCATGCTCTTTGGCCAGCATAGACAGACGGGTCGCAGCGATTGAGTCTCCGCCAAGAATGAAGAAGTTCCCCTTCGCGGAGACACTCGTGGGATCCATGTCGAGGACAGTAGCAACGAGGGTAACCATCTGCTTTGCTTCATCGGTGACTGCCACCTGGGCGCCGGCGCCTCCTAGGCGCTCTGTGTGGTAAAGGCTGACTCGATCGCGATCCCACATGGCGACAACCTCACGCAGTCGGCGACGGTTCAGTTTCCCAGTAGCTGTTTTGGGGAAACCAGTGAGAGGAACGAAGACTGACGGAACCATATAAGATGGTAGGCTTTGCCCCAAGTAGGCTGCAATATCGTGCATGTCCAGATAAAATTGACTGGATGGACCTTGTGCGACCTCCAAATCGCGCGAACATTCCACATGAGGTGGCTCTCCCCAGATATGTCTGGTACGAGACGACAGGAAGGCCACAAGGACTGCTTGGTCATTATTGCACTTGAGCTGGACGCGGTCGACAACTGCCTCCTTGACTTTAGGGAAGTGACCCAAGATACGTTGCTCGATCTCCCCCGGCTCGATGCGCTGGCCATTGATTTTGATCTGGAAGTCCTTCCGGCCCAAAAACACTAGCGACCCGTCCGGACAATATCGAACTAGGTCTCCTGTCTTGTACAGTCTCTCTGCATGACCAGGGGCACGAATATTGGCGAGCCACTGCGGACAGTCAACGAACGCGGCTGCCGTCTGCTCTGGATTGTTCAAGTACCCTGATGCAATTGTTGGCCCTTCCAAGAGAAGTTCTCCCACGGATCCGATGGGCAGCAGGCGGTGATGATCATCAGGATCAACTATCCAAGTCGCTACCTCGATCCCAGTCCCGATCTTGGCCAGGTCATCGTCCACGCGCACACCTTCATACACTGTCGCAACCACATTGCACTCCGCAGATCCATAGCAGTGGATCAAGGTTGCCTGGCCCTCCCATTCCCGAACTAATTCTCGCCTCAGGGGCTCTCCTCCAGTCAGCACCGTCTGTATGCTTGGAACGCCTCGGGGCTCAATCAAGCGCATCGATGACGGAACGGCGAGCACTCTATTTGCCTGCAAATCTCTGGCAGCTTTAGTGGGATCATTGCGCAAGACCTCCTCGTCGGGAACACAGATGCATGCACCCGTCATCAGCGACAGCAGATGATCCAAGACTCCAACGCCGAAAGCGTAAGAAGCATATTGGAAGACTCGACTCTCTGGGTTCATTCGCAATTTTTTCTGGCGAACAGCAAGCCCACTCGTGATTGCTCCATGAGGCAGCACAATCCCCTTGGGAGTACCAGAGGAACCTGATGTGAATAGAATGAAAGCTGGGTCCTCGGGGGTGACAGACATCTTGGGCAAAGTGCACGGGAGACAGCGTGCCTCTGCATAAAGATCCGCAATAGTATTATCAACTACAACCACCTCGGAGTGAAGTTGTTGGCTTGTTTTGGCGCACGCCTTCGAGGAGAGAATGAGCTTGGCGCGTGTCTCCGACACCAGATTCTGGAGGCGCTGCAGAGGGTGGGAATGGGTGAGCAGCACAAAAGCGGCGCCGGCCCTTAAGACTGCAAGCATGGCAACAGCAGTCCACGGGCTTTTCTCAAACACCAGGGGCACAATATCCCCTGGGCGGATATCTTTCGTCGCTATACAATGGCCAACGTAGGCTGAGTATCTGTCGAGCTGCTCATATGTGAGTTGCTGGTCGACCCCACAGACTGCTACAGATTCTGCCCGCGTACGGCAAGTTTGCAGTATAATATCATGGACACAGACATGAGACCGTGGCGGGATATGGCTGTTCCATTGTTTGAGCCGTGCAAGGTCCTCTGGATGGATGAGATCGATATCCCTGAGTCGTCTCTTCCCGCCAACCACCACCTGGTCATGAACGTGAGCCAGTTGCTTCAGTATCCGCTGCGCATCCTGCTCAGCAATGGCCTCTCGCGCAAAGGACATCTTGAAGACAAGGGATTGCTCCCCTACCTCGCAGATGAGTGTCAACGGGTAGTCCATGCCAGTTATCAGAGAGCTGTCGGCGCTCGGCAATGGTTGGCCAAAGATGCCATGCCGCATGGCCTGCTGACGCCCTCGCGGCTGGATGACGAGTAGGTTTTGAAATTCGCAAGCGGCGGCTGCGTCGGGTCCCGCCAGGCGAATGTGCTGGAGGCCCGTTTGCTCGAAGGCAATCATGCGCGCAAATTGTTCATGTACCTGAACGAGGTTTTCCTCGACTGATTGACCGTATCGGAGCTGGATTCGAACCGGCACTGTTGCGATCGTAGGGCCAGTGAACCCAGAAATGCCTTCAACATCCGCACCCCGTCCAGTCACGGTGGCTCCAAAGACTACATCATCGCAACCCGATTCAAGCCCCAGGACAAGAGCCCACGCGAGCCGAAGACTGGATGATATGGTAAACTCAGTCCCCGCATTTGGGAGCCTATGCTTCAGTTCTATCGTCGCGCAACCTTGTCCAAGCATGGTCCCTTGGAGCACAGGGAACTGGCTTGCCCTAAGCTCCGCGAACTCTGATTTCCAGAATTGGGCGGAAAGTGGACCGGCATGTTTTCGCAGATAGGGAATAAATGTGTTGGCCGGGTGGAAATCGATCTTGGCACCGTTATATGCATGCTGTGCCTGCTCACAGAGGATATCGAGCGACCAGGCATCATAGATGGCATGGTGAATGACAATGCGGAATGTGCAGCCGTGACTGGCAGCGATCGAGAACTGGACCAGGGGCCCATTGTCGACGTGGGGCTTTTTGATGCCCGTGCCCAGCTCGTTGTCCTCTGTGACTGTCGACCAAGGAATGTCCCCTCGCACGACCACCTGCAGCATGCCCTGCGGCAGACGGGCAATGCGTGTGCGCAGGATCGGGTTCTTCATCCAAACTGTCTCCCATGCTGCCTTGAACAGCTGGAGATCAACGGTAGATGGCAGCGTCCATGTAAAACAGCCACAGTAGGAACCGGGATTCTTAATCGACAGGGCCATGAGACCTTCTTGCATAGGTGTGCAGGGGTAAATGTCCTCAATATCGTCAATTTCTACCTTGATCTGCTTCATCACGGCATTTAGGAGAGTGATATTTGCGGTAATCAGCGAAAAGGGCGCACATTCCGCGGTCACGCGTTGCGATGCGCAGAGAACCGAGGCTATTCTTTCTAGCGTTCGGTGCTTGAAGATGTCGGCGACACTGAGCATGAAGCCTTTCTCCCGCAGGCGTCCAACCACTTTAGTCGCTGCTATCGAGTCGCCGCTTTTGCTAAAGAAGTCATCTTGCTTCCGAGGTTTGTGCGGTAGCCCTAGAGTCTCCATCCAGATCTCCTGTAAGACGCGCTCTTCTGCTGTGGCAGTGGACCGGTTAGGAATTGGGTCGCTGTCTCCAGCGGTGAGGATGTCTGATGCAATGGCCTGTAAGCGCAGTCGATCGAGCTTCCCGGATTTGGTCATGGGCATGCTGCAGACAAAGAAGAAATGCACCGGGATCATATATCGGGGTATGGACTGGACCAAGTGCTGCTCAAGTGCCGTAGCCAACACGTCAGAGTGGACTATCCTTACTCCCTGGTACTCCCTTTCGTCTTCCTTCGTCACTTGTGACGGGCCATGCTCAAGGAAGGCAACAAGCTGCGTACGCACTGTCCCCTCCTGGGTCGCCGCAGTGTTGACAGCAATCGCAGCAACATTCCGCACGCCTCGACTCACTAGCTCCGGACAGTCTCTAATATGAAACTCGACTTCGCCCAGTTCCACCCGTTGCCCGTTCACCTTCACCTGGCTATCTTTTCGTCCAATATAATGGATAGATCCGTCTAGATTGTATCGGACCAGGTCCCCCGTCCGGTACAGACGCTCCTGAGGCGCACTGTACCCATGCTGCATGAGCCTTCTTTGCCAATCCGCTGTCTGCAGGAAGACTGAACGCGTCCTCGTCTCGTCTCCGAGATACTCCCTTGCCAGCCCCTTTCCCTGGATCAATAACTCCCCCACGGCGCCAATCGGCACCAGTCGGTTCGGGTCGTCGGCATCAACTACCCATAGGCAGGAGTCACATGCAAATCCGATGTTGCGTGGATCCCAGCCGGAGTTCAGATCTGAGGCCAGTATGGCCACACCGGCAGTTTCACTCGCACCGTAGCCGTAGATCACCCGTAAATTGCTGGTCCACTCTGCGAGATGGAATCCCCCAATGGGCTCGCCGCCGAGTAACAGCACGCGAAGGGTAGGAACGTCGGAGGGAGACAACAGGCTGGCCATTGGTGGAGTCAGGTATGTATAGTTCACCCGGTGTCGATTGATAAACCCAGCAAGGTCATAGATGCGGTCTTCCTCCGAGGGGATGCAAAGACAGCCACCCACCATGAGGGTCATCAGCAGCTCACGATTACACATGGTAAATGCGTGGGAGGAGAACTGTAGGCGGCGGGTGTCCGGTCCCAGCATAAGTGAACTTGCAGTGGCATGGGTAGAGGCACAGAATGACCCATGTTCCATCACAACCCCCTTTGGTTCCGAGGTACTTCCTGAAGTGAACACAACGTACAGGACATCCGAGGGTGAGGATTGGTGCTTTGGAAGGGGGACATCCTCGTCATGATCCCCGTTCGACATCAGACATCCTTCGATGACCACGAGCTTACCCGCTAAACCCCGGGCTAGCGACTCACATGCGCGCGAGCAAACTACAACAGGCGCTGAAACGGCCTGAGAAATTTTACGAATTCGATCGGGGGGATGGGAGACATCAACGAGCACGAATGCTCCCCCAGTTCGTAGCACGCCTAACACGGCGACCGCCACCCATTTCGATTTCTCCAGACACAGTGGAACACATATCTCGGGGCCAATGCCAAGCTTCACCAGTTGTGCTGCCAATCGAGCAGAATGCCGGTCCAGTTCACAGTACGTCATTTGGCCGTCCCATGCCGAGATGGCCATAGCATCAGGGTACTCACAACACTGTCGCAAGATGACCTCCGTGACGCATTGCTCACCATAGGTTGTTTTCTTACAGAATGCCATGTTCCATTGTGCCATTTGCTGAACATCTGCATTACTGCAGAGATGCAAATCTCCCACCGTCTGCTCGGTATGCCGGAGAATTTCGGTGATTGTGTGATGGAAGGTATGTAATACGGTGTCAGCCTGCTGGCGAGACCTAGTTAAGGTGCTGTAGTTAATGGCCGTGACAACGGCTCCGTTATGTTCGCTGTGACGGATTCCCACGCTGATATCAGTCTACGTATTGTTTTGTAAGTTAATACGACTGTCTGACATCGGGTAATGACAGTTGAGATAGCAACATACCCCATTCATCCTTCGTACGGGATCCTCTCCGACATAGATCATAGTGTTGCACAGTCGTTCGGGCGCGCCATGCAGCGGCTTATGGCGGTTATATAGGCAGCTTTCTTCAACTCCTTCCCCTCCGCCGGTATCGCAAAGTAAGCTTCGTAGCCTTGTTGATCCAGTAACGTGGCAGCCATATATTTGGATGTCACCTTGGTCTCCTGGGGAAATCTGAAAGCAAACATGGTCCTGGGCCGTATAGCATCGAAGCACCACAGCCCATGCCGCGCGCACCAAAGAAATTAAGCCGACAGCTTCAATATCAAGCCACTGGTGCAAGATCTGTTTCTGTTGATTGTCCCATTCTTGAATAATGGATTTCTGTTCTTCTGGGTCATTCGCGGTATTGTGCTGGTTTGGGAGGTTAGAAGATGCCGAAATGGTAGGAAGAATGCACGGGGGAGGCAACGGAGAGGCCTTCATAACTTGCGTATACAGAGCTTAGGACGAACTTATGATGTTGACACTCTGTCTGGATCTTGGACGTGAGAAACGAGTCTATATAGATGGTCGTAGTATCTCCACATGCAAGGAGGCTGCGGTGGTGCATATGCAGACCACACCGCGTTTTGGAGCTCACCAGCTGATCAGAGCTCACTTGTGCAGGCCAATGGTTTCCACACTTTATTCAAAAATATACCCCGAGTTGGGAGCTGTCGGAAGAATGTTGCCATATAACTGATTGGGGGCTCGCGCCTGCAGTATCTGGTTTTGTCTCACCATGAACCATTGTGTATAGTTCTGACGGTATTGGTTGGGGACCGACATGTTACGCTGAAGTGAGAGAACCATGACAGAATGACAGGTGAGAGGAGATGAAACATGCGGACGAAATGGGCTGGATGATGGAAGAATCGTGCCCTGGGATCGCAGCTCGGCGCCTTCAAAGCGAGGCCAAGTCTCTCCTTGCTTTTTCTCTACTGATTCTCATTGGTCGACGATCTCGTGTCCTCGAATCGTCATGGGTTGAAGAAGAACCCCAGCGGTGAGGCCCAACAGATCAACCCGGTCAATCGTTCCTGAGGTCGGAACCGGGAGTATACGTTGACTTTTCAACAAAGGCCGTGTTTCTGTGACCGGCCTACAGGGACAAGGGATGTCTAGAGATCATGGAAGTCCTCTTACATTGTGCCGAGTAGATCAGCCAAACCTGCTGGAACCATAAAGGGAGAAAACTGATGCGAACAGGCCATGACAAAACGACAGACGGTCGTCAGATCATCACTTCGTGTCACCGCCCATCCTCCTTGCAGTCAGGACACTCCTGTACAATCATTGCAATTGATGAGGACGCATATTTTGCTGCTCTCCTTACCGGATGGCGCCATGACTCGTGGATGCATGATCTGAGACATATACTCCATGCCTCAAAAGATCGGCTTTTTGCGAATGACGCAAGGGTCCTTGAAAGGATGCAGACTCAGAGCACCTCTTGGTCATAGGTTTAAGGTCTCGTTGCACAGCATGTCTGATCTTGAGAGGCGTCAACATCCCTATAGTTAGGGCAACGAACCCTGTTCCTCGAAAAATGAAAGTTTTGACAGGGGCAACTGCATCCAGCAGAGGTTCAGGATAAGCGGTGAGAAAGTGGAATGTCAGCGATTTCTGGAGATATCTGATGCACCGATCCCAGGAGCCAGCCGCCTCGCACGCTACTTTGTAAGATATCTTTGAAATTACCGCATATGATGGGGGTACGAAGCCTACGCGCCATTAGATTGGCAAAAGACACCTTTGCATTAAAATCTGACTCGACCGTACTGGTCACCGGTGCCAATGGCTATATTGCGAGCCATGTAGCAAACGAATTGCTCAAGCTGGGGTATCGCGTGAAGGGCACTGTTCGCGAGCCGAAGCCCTGGCTCAATAAAATGTTCAATGATCGCTACGGCCCAAACAGATTTACTTCTGCCGTATTGCACAGCTATGATAATGTTGGCAGAATTTGTGACATGCTGGAAGGGGTAGAAACAATCATACATCTGGTGCGTATAGACTAGGGCTCTTCGATCAGAGATCTTCGTGCACAGCGTCAGTTTCATTAACAGGTGTAAACAGGCCGGGAATATCGTCATCTCCGACAACCCGGAGGTGATTTTGCCTTCAATTAAACTAGTTACAAATGTGCTGGAAGCAGCGGCGACGAAGCCATCCGTCACACGAGTAGTTTTAGCGTCGTCGTCGATGGCAGCCTATACCCCCATTCCCGACCAGGAAGGGGTGATCGTCACGGCAGGTAATTGGCAGATACAAAATTGTTACTTGCAATGAAGTGATTCGAAGTCTGACCGTTCTAGACACCTGGAATGACCGCGCGGTTCGAGAGGCCTGGGATGCCCTTCCAGCCCAGAAATGGACCACACCTGATTCTCAATGGAAAAAGAGGCTCGCCATTTACTCCGCATGCAAAACTGAGATGGAACGACAGGCCTGGAATTGGATCCTACAGAATAAACCATCGTTTGAGTTTAACGCCGTCCTGGCAGCCTTTACGGTTAAGGCTGTGCTCTCCCTGTAACTGGCTGCGTGACTAATTTCAGTAGGTAGGGAGAATCATTCATAGACAAATCGGTGGCTCCACGATGGGCTGGGTCCGCGGCCTCCTGGAAGGAGAAAAGCAGCCATTACTTCTTGTGCCTCCGAGTATGTGTGTATCTGACGACACTTAAGCGTCGTTCCCAGTTAACCATGGCTTAGAATGGTTTGTCGATGTGGAAGATGTGGCCCGCCTATTTACTATTGCCGCCTGCGACTCTACCGTACGAGGACAGCGATTGTTCGCCTTTGCGGAGTCCCACAATTGGGCAGACATTATTCAAATCTTGCGCGCCTGTCAACCCAGCCATCCGCTGATCCCAGATCCGCCAGCAGAAGAAGGCAGGGACTTGGCGAAGATCCTGCCGCGAGAAAGAGCACTGGAGCTGTTGAGGAAATGGTACGGGCAGCGACACTGGACGCCGATCGCAGTCAGCATCAAGAGAGGACTGGAGAGCCAGTGACAAAAGTATGTTCAATAAATGACCAGACACATGGCAGGCGACCTAGAGCTTTAATTTCCCCGAAATGGACTTTCAGTGGTCTGAGATTGAGCTTTTCGCCCTTCCATATACAGCCCTGGACCCTTGCCTGGCTACTTATATTCAGTCCTTAGTGGACTATAACACCGTCTACTGATTGCTAAATACCAATTGGAAGGAGAGTATATACGCGAGGGTTCCAGCAAGAAGAACTTTATGGGGAGATAGCTACCACTCAGTATTGATGAATATACATACCTGATCTTAGATTAGGACTTCTTTCCTCTTACAGAGTGATTTCTAATCATCATGGATCATTATGTTGATATGAATTTAAAATGTGAGATGGCACTCCTCCCTGCATACCTCTCTAGTGAAAGCCCCTAAGAGTTTGTATCGTTTTAACTTATCTTGATCACTTCTTAAGGCACTTACTATCGATACTACCTACATTTAAGGATTTTTAGCTTATTAGTATACATATGCATAGCAGTATAACTTCCACTTCACCTCTAGCCTTCCAACTGACACATCGCGCTGCAAGATAGTCATGTATGAGTCAGGGTTTTTTTGGTCAAACACCTTGCGATATATTCTAAAGCTGGGGTGAAGAGAGTGACTTTTATCTGTGATATAATTTTCAAAAGAAGCTTTCCATAAGCCTATACATCAGTGAGCTAGGGTACCTCGAATGGGAGAGTGTGAAGTGATATTTTATCCTAAATCTCAGGCTCGCACTAATTATGCTAATACTAGTAATATTATTAATCACTGCATTCCAATCAGCATTAAGAATAATATTTCAGGCTTTAGACCTATATGAGTTATTCCAGCCCTATGTAGACAAGCTGGTGCGAGCCTTCCACCTTTAGGGATATTCCATTAAGTAATGCTCATTTAATACTCTTTATAAGGAAGCACCACTGTAAAACTCTAGTAAGATGCTAGTGACCACAGATAGGTTTACTCTCGTTCAATGTTACGGATAGGTTTATAGACACCATGACACGAGTATCCTAGATAATATTAGGATTCCCAAAAGATGGCAAGATTCTCAAGCTCTTTGCAAACAATATCTGTGTTATAAGGCTGATAGAAGGGATGATTCACAATCTTAAGTATACATACTGTCTTATCCTTTACATAGATGACTTTAAAAGCCCCATTAGTGATCTCCAACTCTTCTGATAACTTGAGCGTACATAAATTCAGTATGGATCCTACCACCACATGCCACTAAGCCGTTAACTAGTGTTCTATCAATGTCCATGCGACGAGTAAATGACGACCCAAAAATTCGTCCCAATTTGACAAAATTAGTTCATTGCCAAAGAACTATCGCCTTCGCATCTTGTACTCTGACCTTGCCCTTTGGATAAGTCAACCCCGATTAAATAGATGAAGCATTAACCCGGGTAATGCATATAAATATACTTAGTACTGTCTGCCTAGTGTACCAGTTTACATTCAGGTAAATTGGCGTCAACGCCGATTGGCATACCGCCCCATTTCAATCTCACTATCCATCTTATCATACCGTACCACAACCTGCGTGGTCTTCCTTATGACACACACATCCGGGTTCATCCTCACTTGCCCCTCAGCCGCCGAGACAGTGACGTCCGCTCCGGCCTCATCCAGCACGCTCCAACCCTCGATTTTCTTCGGCGTTGCGTCCACCGGCAGCGAGCGATTTCCGTGCGACGCAGCCCCCGCGGAGCTCTTGTTTAATCTGCTGAAGAGCCGGGGGAAGAAGAAGGAGAGCGGGGGGCGGAGCGCGGGGAGACAGGCGCAGATGATGCCGAGGTTGGATTCGATGACGGTCCACATGGATGAGCCGATGCTGTTCCATGTTGTGTCGAGGTGGTTGGTGGCGACGTTGAGGGTTGTGATGCGCAGGACGGAGGTGATGCAGGTGCTGTTACCGATCAATCAGCTAGCCATTCTTAG